GCACCCGGATCCTGCTGCCGGAGCAGCAGGAAGGAGGCTGGAAAGGAGCAGAATCCAGCTGAGAGCAGGTGCCCATTCCAGGAGCCTGTTGTCAGCTCCTCAAGCAAACAACTAGGAGACTCCCACAAGGCACATTTCGGGAATACTGGGATCAAAGCACACCCTTGTTATCAGCCGCTGCTAGGCCGCTGGGAAGCTCAATCACTGCGGTTATTCTAGGAGGGTTCCCTTGGGACCTAGGGAAACATTCATAAGCCACCAGCACAGACCTGTCAGCATCCTCAACAGTTCCCTTTTTCAAGCCTCATGTGAAGTTACATTGACTGATTAACTCATGAGCTCAACAACACCTAAAAATACACTGGGGTTCAAATTATACATAGGACACTGTAAAAATCCGCATCTATGGGAGCTCAGTTACACTTAACTCACCTGCTTCTTATTTTACTTATCATTATTTTTATCATTTAATCGTGATTTAAATACAGCAGGATTCAAGCGTTCAGAGAAATGGGAGGCTGCAGCCACAGCGCCATCTCCTCTGGCACGTCCTTATCTAATAAACTTGCTGACCTAAGTAACTTCACCACTGAGTACTTCATGAAATTATACTTTCTGTGTGTGAGTGTGAAGCTGTTTCTTCACTTCCATTCCAGGATGGCCAGTAGAAGTATCACAACTGACAACCCCATGAAAATATGTCACTCTGGAAGGAGCAGCTCCGCTGTTCTCTCAAGCTGCTTTTGCTGCTCTCCAATCACAAGGGGACAGACAGGTTTTCTCCAAGACCCACTATAACTGTGTGGTACTGCAAGCTAAGGGGCAGCAACTGCAGCACAAGGGCAGCCGCTTTTAAAGAATACTTTAATTTTGCTTATTCTCACCTTCAGCAGCTCTAGCTGTTGCTGTAGTTTGTACGTGGCTGTGCTGAACATGCTCTGCTTGTGCTCGTGGATGTAATCCTGCATGAGGTCTTTCATTCTCTGGAAAGAACCTGGACCATTCAGCTGGTTGCAGGCTGTAAGAGAGACGTGACTCAAATGTTATTTAAAACCAACACAGTCTTACAAGTCTTAACGCAGTTTCCATTCTGTCTGAAAATGGATGATGGGGGACCCAGGGGACATCCCGGGCACAAACCTTGTGCAGACTCTAGAGGGAGTTCCCAGCACGCAGGAAGATGCCCCAGGCACAACCCAGGCTGCCCTTCCAGCAGTGACAGCCTGTGCTGCCCAGCCCTGTGGCTGCAGGACACGTCCTGCCCTCTTGAGAAGATGCTGAGCCACCTCCCGAGGTCTCCGCAGCTCCTAAAGCTCGTCCTACAACGTTTCACTTCCCCATTATCCAGCATTTCTGGTTCCAGTTATTCCCAACCTTTGCAATCAGAAACCCAGCAGCAGGAACAACCTGGTCTGGCTTCTGTCCCTGGTTAGAAAGGCCCTGGCATGGCAGGAAGCAGCACCCTGCTTGGCCATCATCGCTCTGGCAGGCCGGGCACAGCGGTTCGCTCCAATCGAGCCGCCTTCCGCAGGGAACGTGCCCGGCACCGAGCAGCGCGCGCAGCACCAGGCTTGGTTTGCTCCTCTGCAAGGCCTTGGCTTAATGCATATTCAATAATAAAAATGTGAAGGGATGTAAGTCATAGAATCACAGAATGGTTAAGGTCGGCAGGGACCTTTAGAGAGCATCTAGTCCAACCCCCTGCATTCGCAGGGTCACCTAGAGCACGTGGCACAGGACTGCATCCTAGTGGGTTTGGAAGATCTCCAGAGAGGGAGACTCCACAACCTCTCTGGGCAGCCTGTGCCAGGGCTCTGGCACCTTCACGGTTAAGAAATTTTTCCTTGAGTTCCTATGGAACTTTTGGTGCTTCAGTTTGTGGCTGTTTCCTCTTGTCTCATTGCTGGCCACCACTGAGAAGAGCCTGGCCCTGTCCTCCCCCCGTCCCTCCCTCCCTCCAGGTATTTATATACACTGCTCAGGTCCTCCCTCAGCCTCCTCTTCCTCAGGCTGAACAGGCCCAGCTCTCGCAGCCTTTCCTCACAGGGCAGATGCTCCAGGTTCCTCATCATCCTCCCTGACTTCGAGACTGAAGCAATGGAAGAGGCAAGAGAAGATGACACCGGCGCCATGGGCCAAGCCACCCGCGCAGCCTTGGCAAGGCTCCCGCCTCCCACTACGTCCCCCTGTGTTCGTTTATGCCGACTGCACCGTGTACGGCCCCCGTAAGCCCCGACTGGTGCCTTCGAGTGACATGGACACCAAGTCCATCATCCAGAGCAAGTGCAGAGGATCAAGCTGAAGCCGGCGTTTCTCACCTGCGTATATGGGTTTCATGTGAGCCTGGACTTCTGGTGTCAGGATCCGAGAAATGCCACGCTGCCTTTTACCGATGTACTCTACCTCGTTAAGAATGAAGTTACGCAGCTGAGAGGGGAAATGGGAGGAAAAAGAATCAGGACATATTGCAGCACTTCATTACAGCATCTGCTCTTCAAGAAGTTGCCAATTCAAGGGTATCAAAACTGAGTAACCCAGCAAAATTTCTAACTACAGGGAAGACTTTTCTCAATACAGGGCAGATGGGTTTGGACAGGCACCGCCTCTCCAGGCCCTCCCGCTTACCAAAGCCTGAGCCGCTTCCATCTGCTGCTGCTGTATGAGGTTCACTGGGTGCGAGTCTCTGCCCTGGGCAGGGAGCTTGTTCTTGAGCTCCTCGAAGAACTGGTTCAGTCTATCCAGAACAGCCTTGCTGAACTGCTCGATGGACTCACCAAGCTGAGAGCTGCAAGAAGAGAAAGGAAAACCAGCATCAAGTCACTCTGGGCCACACACGTGCTTAGGTGCCAGCAAACAGCTGAAAAAAATAAATCAACCGAGTTGAAGGGAGAGGAGGAGTGTTGTTCTTGGGATGAAGTCACTGCTAGGAAGGACAGCTTTACACGGAACTTGCGTTCACACCAGGCCCTGCGATGAATCAAGCAGCTCTGCTGGCCCTTGCAGCCTGGGTCAGGTCTGTGTTGATCCGTCTCTAAGCTCTATTACTCAGTCACACTTTCAGGAAGAGGATCCCAGAGCTCTCTGGGCCCAGTAGAGCAGCTGGGCTTCGTTAGCCGAGAACTTTCATTGAGAAAACCACCAACGAACCATGGATCCGACCCAGGGGGCTCTGCTGGGCCAACACTTACATCACCGGAGTTGTGTGGAAATGGTTCATGTTACCAGACTGTGAACAGATGTACTCTAGGGTATTAGAAGTTTGGAAAATAAGCCAAGTTCTTCCAAAATGATACTCCCTAATGAACACCCTTTCATCTCCTGTTAAATCTTGCACTTCATCTCCTGTTAAATCTTGCTCTTCAGCTGTTCTGTGTCAACAGTCTGAAGTCTCTCTTTCATCCTGCTAGCGATGATGGAGTAAGTAGCTCCCATGCTACAGTAGGAGCCAAATCGGGGGAGACCAGCACGCAGACGGGAAGCAAAGCAATGAGCTGAGCCGGCTCTGCCTCCTCTAGCGTGTCCCCAAGTGCAGAGAAACTGGCTTTGCAGAGGCCAGACAACCCCCGTTTTGTACCTGCTTCTTTAATAGTCACTGGCATGGAGAGTTGTCGCTAAGAAAGACCTGATTTTACACCAGCGGTTTCAGAAATCTCGCAGGTCACCTGCGTTTCCGCAGCAAGCGCTCAGAGGGAGGTACCTGAACACCTCGTTCCAGGCCACGGAGATGCTGCTGTAGATGGGCTCCGTGAGCTGCTCGTTGAAGTCGACGACGCCGCAGGCCACGGAGCTGTAGACGCCGTTGCGGGCGCACACGGCACGGTACGTGGCGTACGCGTAGCCGAAGTGCTGCGGAGAGAGCAGGGCTCCGTCAGCGCTGCAACGCGCGCAGGGAGCTACAGCAACACCTAAACCTCGGGCTGAGCAAGTGTCTGAGCAGCGCAGGCCTTTGGGGCGCTGCATGGTGCAAGGTACATGAAATTAGGAAACAGGAGCTGCTCAGGGCTAGTCTGCCTATTTTGCTGATAATTCCTTGGGCCACTGCTGTAGCGGCCAAAAACTGTACTGCAGGGGTGGAGACTCAGGACAGGACTGTGAGGAACTCGGGCTGTCCCATGGCAGCCTGCTAAGCAAGGGAAATAAATGCATTGGGAAATGGGCTGCATTTATTGTGCTTCTGTGCAAAAAAAACCCAAAACCAAAAACAAAAATATGTAGCACTAATTAGATTAATTAAATGGGAAAGGCAGAAGACATGACAGTAGCAAGGTAAGCCCATCTCCAAATACTGAACAGCCAGTAAGCAATGTGCAGTACTACACCTGCCCGGATAAACAGAACAAACCCCGCTGTGTTTCCCATGTGGAATTCCTCCTCCTAGCTGTGTTGTGTTTTTCCAGCTCTAAATGCTGCCCAAGACACAAACCAGCCCGCCCTGTGCTCCCAAAGACAGGTTGGGATAAGGCAGATTTTCTCCGGTGCCGCCGCCCCCGGCATGCCCAGGGCCACAGAGCAGCCCGGGGCAGTGCCAGCGGCAGGAGCGGGAACGGCGCTGCCAGGGTGGGCAGCTGCGGAGGCACCGCTGGATAGAGCTCGGTTCGGATCTTACAGGTAAGCCCCAGTTTCTGACTTTCTGCTCGCACATGTCCTCTGCCTTCCTGGCTCCTCTTTGCAGGTGGGAGAGCAGCAGGTCGGAGAAGGAGCGCTGGATCTCCTGGACGCCACCGTTCACGGCCTCCTGGAGGAGCTGGGGCACCCGGGAGAGGCTCGTCTGGATGATCTCCTGGAGCTGGGCCTGCTCAGAGTGGTCCTGTGTGGGCAGTAGGGTCTCAGCAGGAGAGAGAGGGGCACGTGTCCCCCCAGCTCCTGCCAGCCAACACCCTCGCCAAAAAGCCGTAGATTGGCATTCCCAAAGCAGCCTCCGTGCCCAGCTCCAGCCGGGAGCCGCGACGGGCAGGGCCCTGCTCTCTGTGCCACAAAACCTGCCCACAGCCGCCTCCTACCGCAGAGGTGCAGCCCGCGGCGCAGACCCGCACTTGCCTCTGCCCTCTGGTTGGTCAGGTAGTTGACAACTTGGCTCACGACACGAGCCACGTCCCTCACGAGCTTCTCCGTGTGCACCATGCTGTGCTGCAGGGCGCTGCGCACCGCAAACCTCCTCAGGGCTGGGATTTCTGGGCGGACAGAGGGAATGTCACCACGAGGGGCCGCTTAGAGACCCCCGGCAAGCGAGAGGAGCTCGGGCAGAACCCACCAAATATCTGGCAAACCAAGAGCCCCAAACCCAGGTTTATAGGGCAGGGGGTTCAGGAGGATTCAACAGCACCCAGAAACAAAGAAAGAGTACAAATAGCAAAGGGAAACACGTGCATTATATTATAATGCATTATATTACACAATAATATAATAATAATATAATATAATATAATATAATATAATATAATATAATATAATACATACAATACATAATACATTTTTGTATATTTATTTATATATAATTTATATATTATTATAATACATAACTATAATTATAATGTATATTAGGTTGTATTATATATTATATAAAGTACATAATACATTATAATAATATAGATTATATGTACTGTAATGTATAATATTATATATATAATATTGATTATAATAATATAGATTATATATACTGTAATGTATGATATCATATATATTATATAATATTATAGATTATACAGCACATTATATTATACATGAGTATAATATAATATGGAGTATATGGAAATAGTATTTCCAAAAGAAAGCAGTGGAAGAAGCACAATATTTTGAGAAACGGACCCGTGGGACACATGACCAGAGCCCCTGCGGTGGCTGGCACGTGGAGCGGGTCCCCGTGCCCAGGGACCAGGGCAGCTGCCCGGCCCGCGCGCGATGCCGCCGCACCGAGTACCTGTGTCCTCGTCGTTGTGGAAGACCTGGGCACGTCCCTCACGGAGCAGCTTCCCGTGCAGCTTCAGGTACTCCGTGGAGCTCACCGTGAAAACCTGCAGTTTGTTATGCTGGGAGGTCGCCTCCCCAACATCGCTCACGAGCAGAGAGCTTAGCTCTTCGTCCTCCATTTCCTCTTCGTACTCATCTTCCTCACAGTCGGCCAGCGCAGCCTTCCTCTTCATTTCCTACAACACAAGGCACGTTTCATCTCTGCTCAGAGCGCACCGGGTAGGAACAGCAGAGGCTGCTGCTTAGCACCGCGCTCAGGCTGGCGCGGAGCCTGCTCTGGTGCTTCCTGGGGGTAATTCCACGCCGTTTTGCCCAGTACCAGCAGCACCTGGAATGCGGCAGGAAGGTGCAGCGGCTGCGATGCCTCTGGACATGGACCTCCCTGCACACAACATGGGGCCGAGGGCTCCTCGGGCTGCCCCCCTGCTCCAAACCACCCTGCTGCTGGCTTGCCAAGGGCCAGCTCCTCCACTGTGCAGGAAAGATCAGACCAGCTCCGCCACTTGGTGTTTCCTTCTTGCTTACAGCTACGAGTAAGAGTATGAGTCACCTCCAAGAACAAATAGAAAGGAATTTCTCCCTTCTAAAGCAAGTCCTAGAATCATTGAGGTTGGAAGGGACCTTTGGAGATCATCTAGTTCAACTCTCCTGCACACGCACGGTCACCTAGAGCATGTGGCACAGGATTGTGTCCAAGCGAGTTTATTATCATCACTCCCTCAGAAATGCTCATTCACTCCCCTTTCCAAGATTTCTGATTCTTTGTCAGCCAGTGGTCAGGCCTTATTTTGAAGAAAACTGTGGACCGTGAGCACTTTTTCTTTCTTGCACTTCAATACAACATTAAGTCTGTCTATGCTGTATACGGCTACAAAGCAATCCACTTTCATCCCTTTCCTTTCTCATCAAGATAATAAAATAACATCGAGCTCTGAACCAGTTGTGCAAAAAGAAACACTGGTCTATCCAGGTGGCACCATCCACACAGCAGCTCCCCATGTCTTGTGGAGAAATGGCTGAATCTTACCATTGAACCACCCACTGGATCCCATCAACCTAAGGGACTACTTTTTCATCAGCAGTTCATATGACATTGCCTTGCCTTCCCTTGCCTTACCTTACCTTCTCTTCTCCGCTCTTCTCTTTCATTTCCTTTCATTTTCATTCAGTATTTCAAAAATATATCTTTCTTTTCCTTTGTCCTCAAAAATAGAGCCTTTTCCTCATCCATACCTATCCACACTGCTGCTTTAAAGATCACCTCTTTCATTTTTAGAGGAAGGTGCATCATGGTCTAGCCCCACTTCTTCTACCATCTCTTACTCTTCACCAAGATTGAAACTCTTAAGGGGCTTGCACCCACAAAAGCAAGGTCAGCCTGCAAGGTTCTCAAATTGAACCTCCAGCCACACTCATTCTTTGCTTTCTGCTATCCCAGACACTCAGGATGATCTCTTTGTAAATATCTACAAAACTAATTCATTTTCTGCCTTTAAAATGCTCCTTAAAGCCCCTTTTTTTCTGTACTGCCTACAAGAGACTTGACAACATTTAGACTTCTGGTATGCTGAGGTCACTGCCTATGATGCTGACTAATATTTTCTGTGTTTCCTGGTGTTCCTCCATCTGTCTATCTCCATCTGTTGTTTCTTTGCTTATCCTTGTAAGCTGCTCAGAGGAAGGACTGAATGGCTGCTCCCTTTTTGCACAGCTGCTAGTAACGTGGGGCCAGCATCCAAGGCTGGTGCCCAAAGGTGCTTTACTCCCACAGATTGTACACAGTAACCAGGACTCACTGAAGTTTGTTCTATCACATATATCAAGGATTTCAGTCAGGCTGTCTGCTGGCATAGTTGATCTTTTACCTCTGTTGCCTTATGTTCAAACATTGCTTATAGTCCCTGGTGAAAGTTATTTCATTGACCTCACTTAGTCAATATCGCAAAACACTGAATAACTTGGCAGAATAAGGCTCCCTCTGTGCAACAGCTTCCCCACAGCATGTGTCTGTCTCAGGGCTAGCTTTACTAGTCCATCCATTTAATTCACTCAGATAATTACATTGAGAAGGCAGGACATAAAGAGAACCATTTGCCTGATACACTAATATAAGTCTTTATATTTGCTGCAGTACAAGTAGATGCAGTACATGCTGCAGTACAAAGATGATTCAACATAAAACCAGCCCAGAATGCTGATATCAGAACTATGAACAGATCAGTGTCAGACGTACAGGACAGTGTAATGACATTCCAATGGCTGTCAAAGATGAGGCTGCTAAAGCCTTAACTGAGGAACACTGATCGTCCTCAAGTCTCTCAATAATTAAAGACAAACTGGAATTCTATGAATAGATGCAAATTTGACTATGGGTAGCGTTGAGGGATGACCACGTGGCTGCAGGTCAGAAGAGCACCAGGAATGCTATATGAAGCTGACAGAGAACAAGGGCAGAAGCACACTCGTGGAGTCCTTTCCTAATGGAGTGCCAAAGGCTCATGAAATTTTGACCTGCAACCTAAACTACCAGAAATCCAATCATGAGCATATCATATTAGACTCCCGTTTTCTCCTTCTTTTCATGAAGGGAGAGGAATTGTCCATTTTTTAGACAACTGGATTCCAGATATGTCAAGTCAAGATACAGAGGCTCAGTATATTGGATAAAATCTTGTCCTGGGCTATAAGGAAGCTACTGATGTAGAAGCAAGCAAGTAGGCAGTTACTGTGAGGGAGAAGATACTGTAGTCTCATCTCTATGAGTAGAGCTAAGCAACCTTTACATGTGCCACTGTCACATGGTATGGTGGCAATAGCAAAGCTCTAGCAAAGTCCTCTCCTGTCATTACATAGATGTCAGTTAAGAGCAGCAGCGCAGCAGCAGGATGGGTGGCGTGTCCCTTCCTGCCTGTGCTGCTCTCCCAAGGATCCCATATGGCCGTTCAATGGTCAGTAAAGCAACAAAGCATCTTCCCTAGCAGCTTCAGAATGTCTCCTTTCCCCTGCAGAAACAACAACGGTACCTTCTGGGATTCGTACCTGAAGGCCACTGATGAAGTCCTGCCAAATCCGCTGTTTGGAGTACTGGTTTCGGGACTGGACGCAGATCAGACTAATAGTGTGAAGTTTGGCTTCCTTCTCTTTCATCAAGGCGCTGATCTTAAACACAAAGAGGAAGGTTAGGAAGGTATCATCCCCAGAGACAGCGCCGGCCACAGAAAACAGGGAGTGACAATAAATAACCACAAAGGTACAGTGTGGAAAAAAGGGGGAGGCAGGTCCACTGCATAGAGACGGTTCAAGGAGAATAAACTTACAACAGGGCAAGGACAGCGGCTCAGCAGAATCCCACTTTCCCACAGACCAAAGCACTGCTCAGCTCAAAGCTCCAGAAATACTCACTTTTAATTCCTTCTCCAAAATATTCTTCCTCAGCTCATTCTCCTTCTGAAACGAGGCTGCATTTCTCACAGGAGGCCCCTGTCTTTGCTGCAACCAGAGAACAGGACATTGGCACTGATCTCCAAAGGCTGGCACTCAGCTCCGCGGTGCCCCACGCTCCACAACACAGCCCGGACACCAGCCAGGATTTTGCGCTTTCCTTCTGGTTGTGACGGTGATTTCTACGGTTGTAGCATGTGGTGGATGGGGGGACTGTTACTACCAGGAAAAAACCTGTTTACTGCAAGAATTGCTTCTCCAAAGGAGCAAACCAGCTCTGTTGTCCCTGCTTAACGCGTGACTGCGCTGCGTTGTGACGCTGCGTGACAGGCACACTACACAGGGTATATAGGAAAATTAGACTTATGGAAAGAATTAGCTCCGTGGCTATCACGTCTGGGCAGCAAATTCAGAAGCATTTTTTTGGTTCAGTTTGGTTCCTCTGTAAGTCAGTTTGGGTCTCTGGCTCCTTGAGTGTCGCTCCGTTTATATTTGTGTGAGCAGCTGCTGCTGACAGCGCTCCAGCCAAGCTCCAAAATGTCACTGGATACGAGAAGCTGGGGAGCTCTGCGGCTGCTTGGACATCAGCTCACGCTCCCTGCACCCTGCAGAGCCATCCGCCCTCCGGGGCTCCCCCACCTCCTCCACTTGGTCTGGAAAACCTGTGTGTGCAGCTCGTTTCCCTGCCGGGCTGTGCACAGTTTCCTTGAAAGCAGCAAGCCCACAAAAACTGAGGGTGGACAGGCCTGTGAGAGCAACCCCATGAGCCTGGGGCCGGGGGGTCCCCGTGAACCCGCGTTGCTGCTCGGGCACCTGCTGCATCTCAGAGTGCTCGGCCCCAGCCATGGCAGTGAGTGTAATTATAACTGAAATAGGCCCTATGTCACCGTGACAAATTATGGAATAAGAATCCACAAATTGAACATGAAACAGCTCCCCAAACCACTGGTCTGCTGGAAGGTCTCCCATGCAACGAGCTGCCCAGGAACCACCCACGCCGGGCAGACCGCGCGGTGCGACGCAATCACTGACCTCCTGCTGCAGCTCCGCATAGAGAATTTCCTTCTCCAGCTCCAGCTGCGCTCGCTGGGTCTCCAGGCCTTCCAGCTCCCTCTCAATCGGCACAATCTCGTCTTTTAAATCCAGATCACTGCAAGATGCAAGTCAAAGAACAGATTAGAAAGGCAGAAAGTAAAACACTAAAAAAGGGCACTGTAATTGGACTCGACATAATCAGTACCTTAGAGCAGATGCATTAGACACCTTCTGCATCAGTTGTATTTAATAGCATATCTAACTAAAGCCCTCTGGGCTTGACGCTGCGTTGTGCTCAGTGCTTTGGAGGACTGGCCCATTGGGCACCTTGGCATTTGTATCCACTGGGACCTGATCCAGAGCCCAGAGCTTTGCTGTGCCAACACCCCGGGCTGGACGGGGACAGCCCGGGCTAATGCAAGGAGCAGAGCAGCGCGGCCATGTCACCGTGCCGCCGGCCCAGGCGGCCACCCGGTCACCATGGCGCTGTCAGGACTGGATTACAGCCATATCTCCACAGCGCAATGTGGCTGTCCTGGCGTCTGCGCCAACTCATCCACAGTCTGTACGCACACACACACGTTTTCAGCGTGTAACTGTAGCCCCTCCTATTTTAGGAGGTTAAGTGCAGTTCTTTGGCTCCCAGCAAATTGCTAGAGATGTTCACAGTTCCTTGGCGACTCCCATCACTGCACGCAAGATGTGGGTTTGGAAGTTACCTGATTATTTCTGAAACGTTGAAGGCATCGGTCTTGGTGCAGACGAAGGCCAAGCGCCTGTACTGGCCGTCCATGAGCAGCTGCCTCCGCAGGTTGATGCTCAGCATCTCTTTGGCCGTCTTGTCATCCACAGCCCTGTTGATGTTGGCCACCACCCACACGGCGTTGCAGTTTTTGAGGTACTGGAGACACAAACACAAGCGAGTTGCAAGGAGAGCTCCAGTGACTCACCCCAAAACAGAAATATCTCAGACAGCTCCTACTACGTGATGACTTTACCAGAACCTGCCAGAAGTTGGTGTATTTAGGAAACACTTTTTTCTGGTATCCTCAAAACCAGACTCAAACAAGAGTTACTTGAGTAAGCACTAGTGAAAGCCCTGGTACCAAAGCCAGAGCTCGGCTCTCGGAGGACAGCAAACCCGACACGGCTCTACCTCTTTGGCCACGTTATCCCTGGCAGCATTGGAATCCCGGATGCCGGGCAAGTCCACCAGCACTGCTCCTGTCTTCAGGACATCGGCCTTGGGAACGCGAATCTTGACACATTTCACGATGGGCCAGAATTCCCCACCTTTCATGTCCCGCAAGTTATCAGTTCGGGAGTCAATAAATTTCTCTATTTTTGAGCGAAAATCTGTGGCCTGGAAAGAGAGAGAGCGAGACCCTGGGATGAGGTTACTCCCCACCAAGGCGGGTGGTGGTTCAGACACTGGCACCCGCGTTACCGTCGCAGCAGAGACGTGCTTCACGGTGCCGAGGTGCTGGGTGACCTCCTGCAGCGCCTCCAGCTCTGCCAGCTCTGCCACCGTCCCGTACACGGCCTTCACGCGGCTGTAGGCAGCACCAGCCTCTGTCTTGCGATCTGGGCACCGCTTCTTCAGCTTCCCTGACTTGTCCTTCATATCCTTGAGGAGCGCTTCCAACTCGCTGAACCATTCCTGGAGCAGGAGACGAAAACACACTTAGTGCAACGCACGGTGTGGCGACGATATTCAGAAGGGCCCCATGTGTGTGTTATATTTATAGCCACTGTTCAGTTTGCTGTGTTGGGTTCATACCCTCCCAGAGCTTCCATGCCCATTCCACGGATGCAGGAATGGAGCTGGAGCAGCACGCAGGCAGCAGCCTAATGGCAGTCATGGATTTATCCTCTAGGCTGCTGCTCTCGGCTTTTGGGAATGCACGTTCCCACAACACTGGAAGCTGTCAGCACGGAAACACAGGGAGAAATACGGAAACCAGCGGAACTTCTGTTTTTGCCACGTACCTCTCTGGAGAGGAACTCCACGTCCGCTTCGTAGGGGCTGCCCTCGGCAGCCCTGGAGATCTCCACGACGGCGGCGGTGCAGGCGCGCATCGCCGACGTGGGCAGCACGGCCTCCTCGCCCAGCAGGCTGCTCTTCCCTGCGCCCGTGTTCCCCACCACGGCGATGGACGTCCTCGGCATCTTGGTGTCTCTCTGCAGCTTGTCGATCTGTTCTCTTTTTGGGGGAGAAAAACAAGAAACATGCAGTCGTGATGCGGCAGCATCTGGCTGCCGCCCTGCTAATGATGATTTTCTTGAATGGGAGTTTCGGTGCATGTTTTAATCGAGATTGGTACATGCAAACCTTGTATAACCCCCCAAAAGTCACCAAGAAACACAAGCAGGACATCTGTGAGACCGAGAGATGTCCTCTTAACAGAGCCCTTAAAGGCATCGCCACCATCCTCCTGAACACGTCATTTCATAGAATCCCAGAATGGATGAGGTTGGAAGGGACCTCTAGGGATCACCCAGCCCAGCCCCCTGCTCCAGCAGGGACACCCAGAGCACGGGACACAGGGTGGCATCCAAGTGGGTTTTGAAGATCTCCAGAGAAGGAGACTCCACAACCTCTCTTCGCAGCCTGTTCCAGTGCTCTGTCACCCTCACTGTTAA